TCCTCATTCTCTTTTCCCTTGAGATCGTGTTAATTTTTCTCTTTCTCCCTCTTCTCTCTTTTCCCTGCTGATACAAACTATTTGACCTTCTGTGGTGCACAGGCCAACTCAGAATTTTCAGTCTTCCTGCAACTGTCTTTGGTAAGGTAACTTTTTGTTCATGAGGTGTATTTTAATAGTAAAAATGCTCCAACCATAAAAATTCCCTTACTCCTTTGTAAGTATAGTCTAATTTTAACCCACTGGTTGAATACAATCTTTTTGATTCTTTCAAATTTCAGGTACGTTCGTTTGAAGTTCAGAATTACCGACAATATGCATCTGGCTCAAGGATTTCATTTGTAATTTTAATCATTGCTTACTTCAGGGTCAGCGTGGAACAGACCTCTGGGTTTTTCCTGTTAATTGACCCTGGATCATTAGTGTCTAAACCTCCTGGGATAAATGTAGCCTTTTTTTGAAGAGCAGTACAGAACAAGTCTTCACACCTTTTGGAAATTTGGGAACAAATTTGATGAATGTTATGGGTTTGAGAGTGGTTTCAGGATTATGGGGGCTCTAACTATTATGAGGCAGTAATATGTTCCCTTATAGCTTCAAGCTGCCTTGAATTTCAACTTCTCTGTGCTCCAGTTCTAATGTAAGCAGAAATTTCTTTCTCTCTGTTTCTCCTAATTTTGTTCTGGGCCAGAAACTCTAACTCCTTTCTATGGGCTTGGAGATCCAGCTTCTTTTCAGTGGCTACCCTTTCTTCCCTCTTAGATTGTAGTTCTTTCCGTGGTTTGTTTTCCTTTTCTTCCAATCTCAGCCTTAAACTCCAGCTTAATCAGGGTTAAAGTAACCCAGTCTGTCTCACATTCAGCTTCTGGTGGATATTAATTTGAGTGATTCTGGTGGCATTGTCTCTGGCAGTTGAACAGCTGGTTTGGAGTTTCTGCAGATTCACTGAGAAGATTTGTCTAGTTTCCTGTTTGACTGTGGCTTTCGACTGGAAACTTGCATTCAGCAATCGAGAGAAAGAGAGAGAGAGAGACAGAGACAGAGGAATTACAAATTGATGGATGTCTAGTTGATGTCCTTCAGCTGTAATCTTTGTACCACACTGTAGCCCAATAGCACTAGAATACTAGACTAGCCAATATGCAGTATGTGCAGATTGTTTTTAACCCCTTCTCATGTGTACTTCTGACAAAGGAAAAGAGCAGCCATATCTTCAACACAGACTGGGAAAAAGCTCGTAAGGAATGGTTCAGGTTTTAGTATTTTATCTCTTCCTTCTTTAAAAAAGTATCTTTCTTAAAAGTTCAATGTGTCTGTAATGAGAGTGAACATCAGAGGCATTAAGGGGTTACAGTCTAGTGGCGTCCTGATAGAAAGGGAGTAAGGCTGATGGTGATCAAAGAGTGTAAACAGAGCATGGAGGTGGGGAGTGTTCTGTGTCTGGTATTATTATTGTTGTGATTGTCATTTAGTTATCTCCAGGGTCATGATTGATCAAAACTGTGGTAGGCTCAGTTATCAACAGATATTACATTTTATTGAACTACCTACGGGACAGACATTCTGCAAATTATCTAGATGGAGTTTTCCCTGAGCAGTTATGGTAGTCATGTGATCTTACATCTTATTTACATCTTATTTACATATTAACATTAACCTTTTAGTCAACACATCCCCCAAGTCTCTGAATCAATTCATTATTTGCATTTTCCCACATTACAGGACTACTATTCACTCTAATTCTGCCATTACACACACCTCTGAACTAGGCTCATGGCTCTAACTACAGTATTACATGCATCATGTACACTCAATGGCTCTTACCTACCTCATCCTCCCAAACCATTAACTCTTCCGGCCCTCTGCACCTCCTATTCAGTCACATGGAAAACTTTATCACATCTATCACAGTACCCTGGACTGGAATTGGATGATCCACTTGACTCATAATCATGAGACCTCTGACTGACTGTACTCTTCTTTGACCCCATGATGGAATGGTGCCCCTAACTTTCAGACACAGTGATTTGGTTGCACACATGCAGTGTGTTTGCCAAGTCAGCGACTTGCACATGCTGTAGCTCTGACATTGACTTGGCAAAGTGCCTTACACAACATGACTACCTCGTTGACTATTCAGTGTCCTGAGTCATGACAAGCTGCCACCTCATCCTATGTGCTAAAAAGCAATTCTAGCCATAAATTCTGGCAGCCTCTATGCAGTACGAGTGCTAAGAAATGAAGCTATGAGCCACGAAAGGAAGCATATGTACATTAATGGGATGCATGTGTATCTGCATGCAAAGTGATTTGGCAGAAGCATGCAAGTTGTAGATATCACTGAGCCCCAAACGGAAGTCGTGAAGGGCTGAAATAGTGTGAGAGTTGAACTGAGATCAACAATGATGATGTGGTGAAGCTGGTGGTTTGTTGATGCCAACTTGGACGGTCAAGGGTGCAGGAGGCTGGTGTCCATGGAGCATGCAAGGATGTCATGATGTAAAAGGTTGCATGAGCCCAGAGAAACAAGTGGCGATCTTTTGTTGCCGGGTAACAACTCTGACTTTCATGTCATAACTAGGCACCAGCAAATTTCCAAAGGAAGCAGAGGAGAATTGGGAGCTGCATAGAAATGAAGCAGGTTGGGCTAATAATGAGATGCAAATTCATGGAAACAGGTAGTTGCTGCTCATTAGTAAGACTTTGACCTCGCTGTTTAAATGTTAAGGGGAAAATTAGAATTTTATTTCTGACTTTTTTTCATTTTCACCATGTATTCACAATTATCACCATTGCCAACCCTGCTGAAGGGAATGGAAAATTCTGACCCTTGATTGAGTTGTTTAATGATGGCTGGAGGAAGCCTTTTGTTCATTGTTGGAAAGAACAAAAACTCTTACTCCAGTGTCTAAATTGGAATTTCTTTTAAGTCCATTGACCAAACTTTCTGCACTTCAAGTTTCCATGTTTCTCTCTGATTTTTCCCTACAATGCTGCCTCAATATCTTTAATCTTCAGTTTCTTGAATGCTATTAATTTTGAGGTTTTATTTTGCATTTTTGAACTGTAACATTTGTACTATAATATACAGCTTTAAAATATCTTCTTTTGCAGCAATGGGACTGTGAAATTTTGGTGGGATAATCCTGAGGCTAACGCAGCCTTTTCCTGCCATAGTGAGTAATGGCAGCTATCATACCCTGTTCACTATTTCTGTTTTTCAGTGTAGGTGCCCTTATATTCCATAGCCCCACAAACAGCAAGATGTTGGTTGCTTTTCTGCACAGTCTCTCTGACTCTCTGAATAAATGCTTATTTTTGTCTTTTTTTTAACTTCTGCCTGCCAAGTACATGTTTGATAAATATAAATCCTCACTTGACTGCAGAAAGATGGATAATTGCAATGTTTCAAGTCCAGTGATCCTTCTTCAGAACAGACTTGAAACATTAACTCTGTTTTCTCTCCACAGATGCTGCCAGACTTGCTGATTCTCCCGCAATTTCTGTCTTGTTTTCAGATCTCCAGCATCCACAGTTCTTTGTTTCATTTTATTGTTATGTTCTGTTTTATTGTTGTTTCCTGCACTGTTCTTTCACCTGCTGCTACCAACTGTTATCACTGTCTGTGATTGTCAATTAGTTATGTTTAGGAACATTGTTGATACAGACTGCCGCAGGCACAATAATTACCTTTTAATGAACATTGCCTCTAACTATATACACAACCAGATTTTACATGAAACACCGACATAGGCAAACCCTCCACCATTCTGGTAATTATCATTCATCATTGATGCAGACTACCCCATCTACCTATTAACATTAACTCTTTGCAAAACAGTGGGATCCATTAGCGATGAGTGTTGTAGCCTAATAGGAAGAGTGAGATCCGGACCTAATGGTGTGGTGAGGTGAAGCAATGCCTGGTTGTGTTGGGGCCAAGCAGGTCACAGGCCTTAGAGTAAAGATTAATGGTGAATGCCCCAATCCCTGAGACTCATCTGCCAAGGGTCTGGATCCAGCAGGCTAGGTATGGCACTGAACCCCTGACCCTGCCAGTCACTGACTTCAGGAAGCTGTCAGTTCTGTAATGCTAAACTGGTCAACAGCAGTTTAAAGTTCAATGACATTGACCCTAGCTACATCTTGATCATCCGTAAAGTTCCTAACCCACTCCATGGATATGTTTGGCTATCTCCCAGTCTCGGTTAAAGCTAGATAAGGACAGTATAGAGGAGTTTTGCATTGGGAAACAAATTACTGACAACTTAACCCCTGGCAAAACACTAACACATCTGTTTTTCTCAATTAAAATTCAGGCCATTTTCTTATAATTTGGGAATTCAGCAAGATTGAAAGCAGGAACTCTGGTTGATTATTCTCTGCATGACCTCAAACAGTGATGCTAAGTCTCATACCTCACTGTCACTCCAGCTGAGATCAACAAATTCAGCACAAACCAAAGAATAAATTTGGGTTTTTTTCTGATTTTCACAGCTCTTACTGTTCAAAACATAAACCTGCTGAACCAGCAGGGGACCCTGACATAAATCTTGATATTATTCTTAATCTTAGCTGCAAGTTTTATTTGTTCAATGTATTGACTGGCAGATCACACTTGAAGTGCAGAGTGATCTACTCCTCCTGATGGTGCTATAATTTTACTGTCTCTTTTTCATTCATACACTTTTATGTTATATGTTCATTTCCATGTGTAATACTATCGTCTTTAAGACTTCTGGTTCACTTGTTTTGTTCTCAAAAGTTTAGAACTTATGCAAACATTCTGCCAGAGCAAAGCAAACAGAAAGAAAGAAAGAAGTTTCTTTAAAGTTTAGATGAAAGAACTGTGAGCTACTCCCCCAGCCAGTGGGGTCCTGACCTGCCCACTGGTTACACCACTTAGATTTTGCATGTTTACTGCTCCTCTCCGCCCCTTCAGCTCAGGGCTCTATAAATTGTAGCTCTGTTAAAGCCAGCCTATTATCTCAGGAGACTGCTTGGATTGCGCAGGCGAAAGAAGTCTGAAGACTTTAGTTAGCATGAAGTATTTAGTTGCATTTGGTTTGTCTTTAGTTTTAGTTTGCATTACTCTGACAAGTGCTATATTACCTTACAAACAAGTATTACAGCACAGTAGAATCAGAGGCAGACAGCATGGGTAAGCAACTTCTAAAAGAAAGCTTGATTGAAGTTCTATTTAAAATTACTGTATACCTTACCTTTATCTAATTTTAATGCAAATGTGAGCACCAGTGTTGCACTATATTGATAAATGCAAATATTATAAACTGCATGTATGAGAGCTAATAAATTTGATTCAAAAAGAACAAATAAATCTGAATTGCTCATTCAAGCTATATTGTGGAGTCAGGAGTGTAAACTTGTTCTTTAGTTAAGAACTTAAAACCTCAATAAAATTGCAGAACAGTGGTGGTAATGTTACCTTGCTTTATACATAGTTTTTAAAAGAAGGAAAAACTGAATTTGATGTGACAGTCTTTAATTTAGTCTTGATTTGAAACAATGGCTCCATTGAATATCTGGACTGCAGATGGATTATACAGTTACTGCTTCTTGAGCAATGTTGAGTTACTGTTCTTTGCTATAAAAAGAAAAAATGTGTGTTCTTCCTCAGCCCCAATGTATGTGCTATGCAACAAGTAGCAGGATCCAACAAGAAGTACTTTACCAACTGCAAGCAGTGGTACCGTCGGAAAATCTGTGGCAAACCAACGTAAGTTTTGCACAGTTTTAATTCAACCCTAAATATCTGCATGAAATTAAAAATATTTTGCACAGTTTTGTGTTTTTGGTTTATGATCATAAGTTGGTGGTTAAACTGAACTGCTTAAAATTCAAAAATCATTGTTTTGATATTTTTGTCAAAAGTCTTTTCTGTATGAATTTTTGAGTAATCTAGTTTTTCATATAAACAAAAATGATTAAAACTTGCACATTTAAGTACTTGGGAGAAATTATATTTATGCATGAAAAAAGCACACACATTGATAACTAAAAATAAAATCAACTATATTATTTCTTCTCATTTTCCCAGGTCTTAACTGTAAATTACACATGCAAGATCCTAATCAGACCTATATCAGTATAGGTAAATTGTAAAGGAAGTTTGATGATGTGCTCTGAGTTTTGCGTAGTGAGGTTTGATTTCCTTAGGTCACAATAAAGGTTTCATTTTCAACTGTCTGGACATAATCAACACAGCCACAATAAAAATGCAATTAGTAGCAGAATGGAATTTTTGTGCAGGAAATGAATATCGACTGTAAACACTTTGGATATAATATCTTAGCACTTAAGATGGTAATGTATTTGGGACAAATACAGGAAGCTGTGGTAAATGACTTGCAGTGTGAAATTTTGCCAGATTGTCCTTTGTTACTGGAACTCAAAGTTTTTGAGTTAAGTTTAGCTCCAGACAGCACAAAGCACATGGTGCCACTCACATTAGCAGGCCACTGAAGAAGGAAAATGAGATCTGATTTTGTGGAATATATATGTCTAAATTGAATCAATATGATACAGATGATGTAAAGGAAACCTTGTGGGTTTGCTCCACAATATTTGCATGATGAAAGGACAGATGTCTCTGGTTCTCCAGCATGTTTTACAACTTCACACTAATATGCAGACTTTTCAATCAGTTTATTTCTAATTCTCTACAGAATATCTTTGGAATTAAATTTCTATGCTCACGTAGTGAGGTCATCATTGAAAACAAATGACATAAAGAGAGAAAAATGTTTCCTGATGATGACACTCCAGCATACTGGTCAATTCACTGCTAACAATGTCGGAGCAAATTACTGCAGATGCTGGAATCTGTACTGAAAACAAAAAGTGCTGGATATCACAGTGTATCAGGCAGCGTCCATGGAGAGAAAGCAAGCTAAACGTTTCGAGTCTAGATGACTCTTCATCATGAACTTCAGCTCTGATGAAGAGTCATCTAGACTCAAAACATTAGCTTGTTTTCTCTCCATGGACGCTGCCTGATACACTGTGGTCTCCAGCACTTTTTGTTTTCAGTACTAACTATAGTAGGAGCAGAGTGTATGATGAGGAAATACGTAACAAGATTTTATTCATTTGTAGAATAATCAAAACGTATCAGTTATGGATCATCGGGACAGTCTATTTTTGCGATTGTAAATCATATAAGTAGCTGCTCATGTATTATTTCTAACTTTGATGTGCATATGTATAAATTACATTACACAGGAACTTAAAAGCACATATAGATCTATTGCAATTTAGGTTTTAAAGAATCAAGAAAAGTGAGAGGATTTCATAGAATCCTCACAGTGTGGAAACAGGCCATTTGGCCCATCAAGTTCACACTGTCCCTCTGAAGAGTAACCCATCCCCATCCCTGTAACCCTGCATTTCTCATGGCTAAAGCACCTAGCCTGCACAGGCCTGGACACTATGGGCAATTTAGTATGGCCAACCCACCTAACCTGCACATCTTTAGACTTCAAGAGGAAACTGGAGAACCTGGAAGAAACCCACACAGACACGGGAAGAACGTGCAAACTCCACACAGATAGTTGCCCAAGGCTAGAATCGAACCTGGGTCCCTGGCGAGGCAGCAGTGCTAACCACTGAACCACCATGCCACCCGTTGGACTCTAGATTTGTTAAATAATAGCTCTGTCCTACAGCCTGTTCATATTTCACCTGTCATGAGCTATACTGTGACTGGGAACTTCCACAAAGCAGGGAAAACTTGTAAAGTGAAAGATCAGTTGTTTGACACATCAAAACCATCATATTACAGAAACACTTCAACAATGTTAGACAAGTGGATTCATTAAATATTTTGTTACATTTATTACATGAAGAATGACTTCAGAAAATCAAAAATGTCAACCACATACATTTTAACCGCCACAAGGAAACTACAGCCAGTACACCAATCTAATCAGTGTGTGCAATTAAATGTAGCTCTGTAATACATAAATACAAAAGAATCATTTTACACTGGCTTGAAGGATACCAATGCCAATTGTGTGTATCATGACAGTGTAGGCATCGTACTAGCTCTATTTGTCATTGCGCACTGAGCAGTTATAGAATCCCTTCAGTGCAGAAAGAGGCCATTTAGCCTATTGAGTCTGCATTGACCCTCCAAAGAACATCACATCCAGGCCCAGCACCCCATCCACCCTATTCCCTTAACCTCAGATTTACCATGGCTAAAACTCCCCCAGCCTGCACATCCCTGAACACGACAAGGCAAATTCAGCACAGCCAATCCACCTAACCTGCACATCTTTCGACTGTGGTTGGAAACCGGAGCAGCTGGTAGAATCCCACACAGACATGGGGAAGACGTGTACACTCCACAGACACAGTCACTCAATACGGAATTGAACTTGGGTTCCTGTGGCACCGTGCTGCCCAGTCAATCTAGAGTTACTCATTTGAAGCTTCGGCGAAAATAATTCAAATTGCTTATAGAATTGTTTTCTTGGTGGGAGAGGGGAGTGGGGATGAAGAAGAGTTATTGGCTCCATATGTTCTCTTGCTCTGTTAGACTTTCTTATTTCTCGTGTTAAATAATTGAAATCATGTTAATATAGCAGTAACAACCTTAAAATGGAGCTGAAAACCCATGACTAATGCTGTGGCTGTTGCCATTTGTGATGGGGATATTTCCCGGGTGCTTGGAAAACCACTTGTTTCAGATGGTGGTCCTTTTACTACAAAAATTCTGGTCTTTCAATAATGTTTAAAGTCTTGCTGCCATTTCAGGGACAAATGAACGCTGTACACTGACCATCCAAGTGACCAGACCTTTAGCAGCCTAAACAGTGGCCTTTTAATGAATGTTCTTCCTGGCTCCACAAAGATGCTGGAGCTTACTGCTAGATTGGCTGACTGCCTCCAATGTTCTTTCTCACCAAACCCCCTGTTCGGCACTTTTACCTCTTCCTGCACTTGGTATTCCCTCAGGACCCACCTGCTGGCAAGTACAGTGTTTATAACATACAATATTATCCTGCATCTCAGTTGACAATGGATTTCTCCATGGGAAGGTGCTGTCATCCTGCAGCAAGAAAATGAGTGCAAAATAGCTTGCGTTCTCTATTGGTGGAATGACAATTAAAATCCTTTGATCGGTCTTTCTTATATTTATAGTCTTCTCAGCTCTTTCTGCTCTAGAAGTGTCTTTTACTGATGTGCTGTTGTTTTTCTTAGCTTTCAAAGTTCCTCCTTTTTTGAACTAATAATTAAGTCTGGATAGTTGCGCTGAAAAAATGAAAGCAAGCATCTATGCAGTAACTCAACAAAGTGTCATTCTTTATGTATGGAACTTGTTAGATTCAATAGATGGTTAAAACATGGAGGTCAATATTGCCAAGACTAATCTTGTCCTGGTATGCCCACTGTATAAAAGACTTTTCAGATGGACAGATGAATCCCAAGTTAGCATTAGTCATTTCCTTTTATGCAAACTGACTCATTGCATGCACTCTGCATAATCTGTCTGGTCCTGAAAATTATGAAAGGCTGTCTACTACAATCATCTAGTGTGACGGAGAGTTTAATAAAGTTGGAATTAACTTTTAAGTGTAATGATAGTGTCTGTAATGGTTAACCAAGAACTCCAGATTAGAAACAACAGGGGCGACTGCATGGATGTGATCTAAAGCAATCTCTTTATTGTCAGTGGTGATAAGCTTCCAATTAGGCAAATATCACAGTTAAGCATCTCTTACTATTGTCAATTGTTGCTGTGATATTTGGGGAAATGGAAATGTTCCAGTAAATCTAGTGGAATCAGCAACCACGGTTAATATTTTACTGCATTCGTATAATGCAACCTAATGTATGTAAACCAAACCGATGCATTTAGCCTTACCAGTTGAAGAACAGGGGAACTCTCCCCGAAGACCAGCATTTAACCCTCAGCCTGATCGTTACGTCATTGCAACCCTTGGGAATTTGCCGTGTGCAAATTGGCAGCTGTGTTTCCTACATTACAACAGATTTTCAAAAGTTGTTCATTGATACCCTGAGGTCATTAAAATTAAAGTATAAATACCAACCTTTTATTTACAATGTTTAATGGGTACATATTCACTAATGTTGAAAACAAAGACTGAAAGGTCTCAATTATTATATTTGTATATCCTGTAAAACCATTCATCAGCACTTAGCCTGGTAGCATGGCTGCAGACCTGTTGCAATTGAGTTCCATGAGTTAATGTAAGTGGTAGTGGTTAGAAATTTGTTGCTTCATAATTACCAGCTATAAGTATAATTCACATTTAATTACATGATAAATACCACAAGCATTTTCCCCTTTTAATCTCTGTTATACAGATTAATGCTTGCTGAGGTCATGTTTAGATGATGCTTTTAAAATATGACTTAACTCACAAGTAATTAATTCTGGTCCATGTGCCACACATGGTGTAACAGAAATTCACCCTGGATAACAGACAGAAGTGACATGGCAGTGGGTGTATTTAGTAGCCAGCAGATGGGACACATTTCTCCTTTTCATAGCTAACATTTCTACTTATTACACAAGTCTATCACTCCTTTACCACCATTATCACAACCTTTGTCTTTTGCTTTGGGCCAATCACCATTTGTTCCATCTGTTCCTCCACCCCCTCTGTCACTAGCATAAAAGCCATAATTTTACTCTCCTTTAACTTCTGAAGAACAGTCATACCAGACTCAAAATGTTTACTCTATTTCTCTCTTTACAAATGCTGCCAGACCTTCTGAGCTCCTCCAGCACTTTCTGTAGTTCTTTCATATTTCCAGCATCTGCCAAATTTATTTATTTGACATCAGCTGTTTCTATTAACACTCAATTTCCAAGAAATTGACAGTTTACTGGAGGTGAAAAGCTTGCAATTGCTTAATCTTTCTAATCTTCCAAAACAGCTTTGCTAAGTGTTATTTTGCTACTGAAGACTGAAATTTTATGATTATGAACAAAAGAAATTTAAATTAAGTTTAACCAGTAATTCAGGTTGGTAAGCCTTAGTGAGTCCTATGATCATTATCTAACACCTTGAAAGTTTCACATGCTTCATAGTAAAATTACATAGGACTTGTGGTTGAGCAGATACCTTTACCTCAATTAGTTCTATATTGTTCAGTGCATGGAATAGCACAGTAAACAATTTGTATCATTTCTATGCCAGGGCAAAAAAAAAGTTGCCAATACATTTAACATCATTAACATTGAAACTATGCTATAGCCAATGAAGTTGTGTGTAAATTTCCACAAGATTCCTTTAATTCAGCTACTTATTAAGAAATATCATATGATCAAATACTGAAACAACTACTTAACTTTATTGCATGTAGCAACCAGAATAAGGGCCCTCAAGTAAGCAAGCTAAACCTCACAACTCAACTTAGCTATGACTCGATTAATGGTGGAATTTAGCTATGATTCCAATCAACAGCATCTGTCCCTGGATGGTCAGGGTTCAATCCTTATGCAGTGCGGTTCTTTGAAGTGCTACTACTGAAGAATCCTGAAGGTGAATTCTAATAGGAATTTCTGTCATGTGAATTTCTGATGTGACATTACTAATGATTCTTTAAATCCTTTCACCCACAACACTGGTTACACTTTTGGAGTTATCAAATCTTCAGTTTTCCTTCTTATCAGGAGTAGCTTCTCTACTCCTTGTCACATTCAATGTTAACTGTCTGTTCAAAACACAGACTGTCCTACCTCAGAACATTCCATATGGTGGCAATTTTAATTTCCAATTTGTCACAAGGCAGCAAGTTATCAAGCAGTGTTACCTTCTGTCTCCCAGGAAACAGCTTGTTTACGTTGCTTTGGTTCCTTCTTTTGATAGTTAATTAGCTTGTTGCTTTTAATTCCTTTATGTCAGTTTCTCCTTGTCCCTTTCATCTGAGGAGGCAATTCATTCCAGAAAACGTTATTGCTGATTCTTTCAATCACTGAAAAGTTATTAAAGTCCCAAAATTTGTAGTGTCACAAAGTACTTTTAAAATGTAGGGCCAAATCTTATGATATTTTAGCTAAGTGTGAGTTGCCTTAAGGTTTTTGGAGTATTTGTCACTGTGAAGCCTAGTGAGATTTCTCGCTGTATCTTATAAAACACATTAATTACCTGGTCCACCTATGTGGCATTCATCTCATCGATTCTATTTCCATCTTGTCGTATACCTTCCTGGAATAAATCACAACTCAATGGATATCCACTAAAAGATCAACATCCCTTGCATCTCACCATCTGTAAAAAGAGACCAGGACAAGCTCTGGCATTGCAAAGCTACCTGTTTGTTTGAGGACATTTTTTGAAGACGTCTGATAAACGGGAGATAGCACCATAATTCTCCAAACGGGACCTGGAAGTTCTGGTCAAGGAGGTGGTGCAAAAGACAGGAGGACTCTCCCCAGAGGACTGGCAGAGGAGACCATCAGAACCTGGCAGTCTAGTCCAAGATCACCACCCTGATCAGTGCTATCTCCACAGTGCAATATGAAGGTCAGCTGTACTAGGGTAAGTGCCCCACTTTTCTCTCTGTTATCTTACGCTCACTGTATCTCTGCTACTGCACACATTTGCTTTGCATTCTTATTATTGTCTGCAAAATCTTCCCTTGTTCAATGTCTCCAACCATTACTTCCCATGCCACTAATCATGCATGACCTCTGCACTGCCAATTTATTCTCTTGGAACACTTCACCAATTTTTCCCACCTTCACCGGCACTAACAGTCATGCCACCCACTTTCATCTCAGTCAATCCTTTCTTTTCTCACACTACAGGAGAAAATGGCCCATATCTGGGAAGGAAAAGCCAAGGCAGGTAGAGAGAGGGGTCCCTGACATTAAGCTCGTCATTCCTCATGAGGAGACAATCCTGGCCCTTGCAGGAGAAGACAGGGGCTGTTCCTGTGGGGACGCTAAGCTATCCATGTGCCACCAACCAAGTAAGTCCTATTCTTCATTCCACTGCACCTCTTACTTAGCCCACTGTCAAGGTTATTCATTGCATACTTACTCTACTCAATTCTTTCTTTGTCTTGTGTCTTGCAGGTACATCTAACATCTGAACTATTTCCTTGGTGAATGGAGAAAGCATTGGCAAGGCTGCCTGTTACGCCATTCCAAATACTGATACCATTACAGACACCCCAATGGGAATATTAGCCTTAGAGAGGGTGTGACCACCATCTGTTGAGCACTTCACTGTGACATGACAAAATGCCCGAGGCCGCTGGCACTCAGAGGGCTGCCAAAGACCAGGTACCTGCTCAGCCACAGACAGGAGACGACTAGCAACACTATAGCGTTGCACTTTGTCCACGTGCGCGGGGGTGAAAAGGAGTGGCAGACAGATATGTGGAATGAATGGCCTTCATTGCCCAGAAGTTGTAGCTGTGCAGTGTGGAATGCATCTGTCTGGGTGCCTCCATGGACGTGTTGTTGGCTGCCGTGGAGAGCCAGGTCCAGTATCCTGACGGTCTACCAGGGAGGACACATACCTGCACTCTAGTGGTCTATCTACTGGCCCTCAGGACCATAGGCACAGTAACAAGGGAATGGGATGGTGAGTGAGCTGTACAGGTGCTCCACTGTCACAGGGAGAAAAGGTAGTTCCGGGAGGCACCCAGTTAATGGAGGAACCACACACACCTCCTCAGAAGTCTCCACTCTGGACTCTCCAATGGTGGCTGGGGCCCCACCTCTGCCCTGCATGCTCAACTGACCCTTGTAAGTTCACACCAAGGTGGATCAACCTTCAAGAAAACCATCTTCATGTCTGGATCATTCAGACTCTTACTCCCTAGGGTCATTTGTCCAAATCTCCAGGTTCAACAGGCTCCACTGCAGAGCAGTGGCTCTCCACACCAACTATTGAACCAGGGATGACATCAAAATGTACTGGGAGGGAGAGGAAGGAGAAATATTATAGAGAGCACTTTGGTGGCACAGGTAACTGCACTGAAAGCTATTTGGCGCTTTTCTATAACTGGCACTACATTGACCTTGCATCTGGTTATTTGTCTGTGTAGCCATTAATGTAACTGTGCCAGCACATGCCTAACTTCATGGCCATACAGAACCTACAATTGTTCGATATCTATGATGAGAACCTGCTACAGCTTATGGAAGCAAGAGGAACAGGATGTATACAGGACAAGAGGTCCAGTTGACACCATTGCTCCTCACCCTACAACATCCCAATTCTTTCTCTGGCCTCTGTGTTCAAAAATGTCAAAGGGTTGAGGTGGTCAGTGATGTCTAGGGCAGGGAGGTACACGGAGCTGATGTATTAACATGACTAGGGATTAGGCACAGTAGTAACCCTGTATACCATACAGTGTAAGGGTCTGTGAGTAATGTTTTCTTTTAAGGGACCTCACATTGTTGGGTCTTGCCATCCCCTCCCTCACAAGGTGAGTCACTCATCCTGCCTACTCTGAGTTTGGTCATGTTTTCTTTCCCATTGTGCACTTTCCATTTCCAGCATGATGGACGGTGACAGGGAGCGTTCTTCTGCCAGTGGCTTCCAGCCTCTTCCTCTAACTGATGTTGATGCCTCAAACATCTGAATCCTCTTCTTGGTAGCCTATTCCTTAAATCCAGTAGGCATTACACTCCCCAAGCCAGTGCCCAACCTGCTGTGTGAGTTCACCATTCCCTCTACATTCTCACAGACATCATAAATCTTGCAGTGGGATACTGAACTCTCTGTGGAGAAACCAATGATAATAACCACAGCTATATGTACATTGAGTCAGAACATTTCTCATTTAAGAAATATCTTTATTTCCTGGTGGCTGTGGTTGTTTAAGTTGTTCAAGGTTTTTGGAACACTGAGAACTCCTGTGTGCTTTGCTGTAGCAGAAGTTCTGATATTTTCCTCTGTCGTGGCGTTTGATGTAGCAAAACTGCCAAGTGTGAATGTAAGTAGATTTAACCCTATAGCTTCTAGAAACATTAATTAGTTGTTGGTATAAAAACCTATCTTATGGATTAATGTTTTCTTCAGCAATTTTATATCAAAACGTGATGCATTCCAAAATTAAATACCTGGATACAAGTGTCAGAGATCTGGGTGAAAAGGGAGGGAAGTAGAGGGAAGGTGGAAAATCAACAATGTTGCTTTCACAGATTTTGCAGTTGGATGACCCATTTTACATATGTGCAAGCTACTGTTAAATCGAGCAGATGTGTATTTTAGGTGGTGATAGCAGAAAATAGAGCAGACCTCCTTTCACTCTTGGAGACAATAAGGATTGCAGATGCTGGAAGCCAGACAAAGGGTTTTGGCCTGAAATGCTGACTTATCTGCTCCTCGAATGCTGTCTGACCTGCTGTCCTTTTCCAGCCTCACTCCTTTCACTATTGAAGTGAGCCTTCTGCATTGATGTCCAGACCTATTTGCAAAACCAGTTAAAGGTAAATGGAGCTTGTATTCCCAATGGAGAGACAAATGGGGAGAATGCTAAAAGGGCTGCCTGAAAGGTACCACCTTTTTTGCATTATTAATTACATCAAATTTTACCACATTATTTAGGAAAGAGCTGAATGAAGGAAAGAGATTACGCGCAAATCATCACTGATAGCATGATGTATAGACTTTTTGATTGGCTCGGGATTCTAAAGTATAGCTGTAGAATATCTTAATTTTCAGGATTTAACATAAAAGCCCCTGGACTGGGAGGCCAGGGTACTGCCTGCTCCAGAGTGTTTGATAACATCTCTCTGAACAGGTTGATTATAAAAATAGGTTAAATTAAAATTTTAAAACAAAATAACATAGAAGCCTGTCTTAAGTACAGGCAATTAGAAATTTAGAGGGCTGGTACATTGTAAATGACTGATAACTTGGCTATAAGCTGTAATATTAATAGAGGTAGAATGTGATCACCATTGACTAGGTTCTCCCTTATATTTCTTTCTGGCTTATTTGATATTGTGAGATTCAGAAATCCTTCCTGTGTTGTTGAGCCTTTTATATACTTAGTACTAAATGAGTCCAGAAAAAGATCTCAGTTCTGAGGAAGGGTCGCTGGACCTGAAACGTTAACTCTGTTTTTCCCTTCATAGATGCTGCCAGACCTGCTGAGCTTTTCCAACAACTTTGTTTTAGTTCCTGATTTACAGCATCCGCAGGTCCTTCAGTTTTTAAAAAATCTCTGTTCCCTGTACCTCTTTCATTACCCATCCTATCAAGTTTAGTTTGGGAAATTCAAATCTTGAATGAATGTTATTCTATGTCCTTTACATGTTTCTTTATTTTCTTTATTCTTGCCTGGGATGCAGGCATCACTGGCAAGTACAGCATTTGTTGTCCATCATTAATTCCCTTGAATTCAATACTTTGCCATTTAATTTCAGAAATTAACATCCATATTTTTGCCTTTGCCTCAGTTATACTGTTTTGTAGCTGGCATATATCCCTGGTTGTGTGGATAATCCTTTCCTATCATTTATTTCCATTCATCTGGATTCTATTATTTCTTTTTCTACTGTCATTATGTTATCTCTAATTAGTGTAGCTACACTACCCCACCTTCTATCTTTCTTATCCTTTCAAATTATGTATCTGATTATGTTTTATGTTAGTTATGTCCTGGCCTTTCTGTGGTTGTGTTTCAATTATTACAGCCTCATCTATTTCCTTACTACAGATTATTGTCTCCAGTTTGTGTCCAGTTTCCCTCTTTTATTTAATCCTGTCTGTGCTTTAAAGAGACAAAGTCTAATTGCTGTAAATTGATGTGAACTAGAACATCCTGAGTTCAACAGAGGCTGGATAATTTCCTTCATTCTTTTTCTCTCTCTAGTAGATTCCTTGTTAGTTCAGTTGTAATTTTTTATGAATATAGTATTTGACCAATCAGATAAAACAGTGACATAGGAATCTTTCAAGTTCAGTAGGTGTCCTTCACATTCCCTGAAGAAAGTGGCAAGACATCTCTGCTGACTCTTTGCAAGATGTATCCTCTGCCCATCAGGTACTTAACACGACAGCAGACAGCCTTCTACCTAACAGATGCCCAGGATACCATATCCTCACTGCTGACTACTGCTGGTCAATTGCCAGCAACTCTAGCATTCAGCAATGCCTTGGAGGAGGCTGTGGTGGAGCTGGTACAGCAACCCCTAGAGCCCCAGTATAGACGAGTTGCCAAGAAAGAGGGGTCTTTGTAATTGATGATTGTTCAGGTGAACTGGTGATGTACCCAAAGGATACCTCATTCCCTCCTCCACCAAAATTAAACTTGGAGTAGAAAAGCTCATAGTCTGCCTGTGTGGACAATGGGGCTGGGGTTGGTCCTTCTCCCTGGCATTGTTGATTTTAAAAGTCACCAGCCCCTTGCAGGAGCTGAGGGTACAGCAGGCTGGGGGATGGGGGGAGAGTGGGGGTGACGTCTGTCCCTGGGGTCTTGATTCTAGGTGAAGGCCTACAGGTGGCCTTGCCAATATCTGTTTGGTGTGTGGTTCAGGAGGCCTTCCCTGAAAGAGGCAATGCAGGCCTCAAGCTAGCACTCTATCTACTCAAGAGACCCCTGCAGATGCAAACAATTCTGCCCATTGCCTGCAATTCTAGGAACCCCAATATTGAAAGGATGTGAAAGAGTTCATGGGAAGCAATATATCACGCAGGAGAAAAATAAGTCGTAAAGCTTGCAAATGACGCATACTGTTCAGACTTGTTTTGTATAGTTCAGAACAGTACTCTTGTGTGACCAGTAAATTCAATTACTTTTTCTTTTAAACTGTATCTTTCCCTCTGGGCCATGTTGTACTGGGCAATGTTGTACTGGGCAAAGAAGATATAATTATGAGAGACACCAAAGATTTTAGGACTACTTTCATTGGAGCAGAGACATAATTTAACAAAGCTGTTAAAAATTATGAAGGTCTTTGATAAATGAAACTGGCAGGGAATTTTTACGATAGTTCGGATCAGTGCTGAGGGGTCAATTTAAAATTGAGTGAGGAGTGAGGGTTGGGGATGTTAATTTTATAGAGAGAATAGTTAGAGCTTAAGATTTGCCACATGCAATAGCTAAGTTTGAAAACATTGCTTTTTTTTAAAGAAGAAGGAGAAAAAACATTTGAGGCAGTGGAAGACACAGGACTAAGGAAGGGAAGGAGAAGGACTGTAATACTAATGGAATGCAGAGTCAAAGAGACATGATGGCTGACTAGTTTACTCTTATGCTGGAGAGTTCTACGGTGCAAATTATTTCGAATTCAGAATGACTTTTTTTGGGAATTGG